CACTTTGTATGATGGCCTGTTGCACTTATGACTGTACTGGCTTGTTCCCAACACTGATAAAGATCTGAAATCAGGGCATCAGTATGAAAATAAACCTGCCCCTTGTGTCAGCACTTCATCTTTCACGCTCCCAATGTGAACATTTCACCTTTATTAAAGTGGACGTCAGGCTGACCATCAGGTGACTGCACACGTCCAGTGTTGTTCTGAACCACATAAACACCACGTGCTCTTATGCAATACACTTACGTGGCACAGAGGGATAAAAACACACAGTCTTGGCAGGAAGGCAACTCTGGTGCAATGAGATTTGACCCCCAGTTGTGCAACGTTCTGTACATACCTCACAGCTACTGGTGTTTGTGTTTCTTGAACATGCTTGTCAGAGCAAAGCTGTTTAATAAAAGCGCAAAGTGAGTAGACCAACCAAAGTTGGAACATTATGGTCCTGCCATATACAGTATACGCATTATGTTCACTTATAAACAAGTGACTTCTCACACTTGCAGCAAAAAGAAAGGAGAAAACAGAGTGATAGCCACAAAGTGTTATCTAACCAGTGTTTCAGAAAGAAAAATATTTTTTCATTCACCAGAGGCTTTTTTTTTTTTTTTTTTTAAACACATAGTTTTACAGGTTTACAGCACCCAAAAGCTACTTTGGATGTATAATTATACTTTAATGGATGGATTATTCATGGGGACCAAAACCAATCCCAATTAGAGTGGTTGTTTTTTTCCATAGACTGTCAAAAAATGGTAGAAATTTCCATTGGCGATTCCCAAACCTCAAAATAACAATGTCTTGAAATGTTTTTCATCCACAAACCAAAGATATTCAGTTTACTGCCGCAGAGAAGCAAAGCAACCACAAAGTAGTCACACACATAAAAGCAGCAATCAGAGAACTTGTTTTTGTCTTTACAAATATCATATCATCAATTTTGAAGAAATGCTGTTTATTAATGTAATAATTAATTCTGAATAAACACATTGATTTAATGCTAAATTTAGTAAAGTTTACTTTAAACAGTATTTTTACTCTGTAATCAACAATCACATCAACATTCTCTGATTATTCTCGAGTGTTTTTAGTGAAATATTGCAGTACGCAAGTACAGAAGAGGAGTGGCAGGTGTTGTAGTAGTGTATCTTTGATAAGGAAAAAGCATGCCCTTTTCTGTTCCTCCCCTGTTGGGGGTGCTAGTAAGGCAGGTTGGATGTCTAATTCAAATGAAGGACATTGCATTATCATTTTATATAAATCTACATTAAATATTTAAAATGTATTTATACAAGAACATTATTCATTATTATTTTGTTAGCTCTATTAGCTGGCTAACATAAGC